TTTTTTTTCAAACCTACAGTCTTACAGTGAGAGAATTGGTCCAAAATTGCGGCTCCCAACAGCATGAATTGCGCTGCCAACGGCTTGATTTCTGCTGAAAAGCAGAAACAGACACCATCTAAATAATTAATGATGTAATGTTTATGTAATTGATAAAAAATTAATTTATCAAGTTTTTTTCCCCCAAAATATTGAACTTTGTGATTATATGAATATTACCTAATTACCGAATTATCATTATTCTATGTATTTGTTTAACTAGAATAAGTTCGCGATTGTAGTTAGTCTTATTATATACAAGTCATGGATCAATCCATTTTTGCTATAAACTAAAATTATGTTTGCACTGCATAATTTTCTCTTGCAGTATGAGAACAACACTACATGAGAATTTCTTACGTGCCAAGAAAAGTTAAATATTTTGTTTAATGAGATATTGATTTCAAGATTGAAACACGTAAGATATTGAAATCATATTTTACGAAGGCCTCATAATCGAATCATAATTCTCTTTTTAGAATGTATTATCTTTGCAAATTATTAATTTATCACCTTAATTCCAAGTCGGAACTGATTAAAATATTATTTAATTGAAATTATTAATTTATCGAATATTTACTGTAATTATAATTACACATATACACGCATAGTTGAAGGTGAAAAAGTGTATCAAATAGATATTTTCCCAAGAAATCTTTCACTCTAATTATAAATTTAAATTGTTTAATATTCAAGAGAATTTTTGAGAAAATAACTCAGTTCTTCCTATTCATTTTTGCTAAATTCGTTATAACCTTTCAAGTCTATAACTTCGATTGTTAGTGGACGATTTCTGTTCGCTTGACTGTTAAAGCATGACTTGCACGTGTTTAATTGTTATAGATAAAAGAGCCGTGCTATTGAGTTAGCTCCCCTTCCAATAGGGGGGCACCACATGGGCGCCCTGTTTTTGGGCCGGCACTGAGCCGGGCCAAGAAGATTAAATTAAAGTCAAAGATTGAGATAAGAATGTTAAAAAAAAAGGGTCAATAACACAAGTGTGAAAAAGGGCAGAGGTTGAGGACTTTTAGTGCAATAAAAGAAAAATACGATGTCATCCTAAGAATAGACGCACCTCGGGGAACTTGCCTCGAATAGGATGTGGATGGGGCCAAAACATTTGCCTTGAGCTTGGGACAGGACAAGGTGGAGATCAAGATCTGTACTCACTCGATTTATAAAATTTTATTTTATTATATATTTACCTATTAACTTTATTTTGAACCACATATTCTATGAAATTTACTTTTTCCATTAATTTTTCAACTACACATTTCATTAATTTTATCAAAATTTTCTGAAAAACTGATTTTAGTTACATCAAATAAGGACATAATATGATTATAATACAATTTATATAATATAATTAAATTAATGCTAAAAAATACCATAGTTTTTAATTAATATTTAAATTAAATAAAAATAAGAAAAATTTATATACGAGGATTGGGAGTTTCGAGTCCTGCCCGACCCCGAATTAGTAGGGACGAGGAAGGGAATGCTAGAACCTGAACTCATCCGAATGTCATTTCTACCTAAGAGAAAATATTACAAACACTCTTACCACTATTAATGCCCAAAATACCATCAGTTTTGAAATAACAATTAAATGAATAAAATACAACTAATCCGTGTATATATCCAATGTCTTGATACCCCGCAATATCGTGGTGTGTGTAGATACCCTCAAATATCTTGATATTCAAATGCCATGAAAAACGTATAAGTTCTGTTTATGTCCCAACTTTGACAAATGTCTACGCTAAGGCTGGACTTGCATCACTAGCCATACACCCATCCTCCACTACCACATTCCCCTTTTACCCGCCACCGCCATTTGTCTTCCCCATCCATCGCCTATTTTCCCTTCTACTTCGTAAACCCACCATGTCTTCTAACCCCTCGTCCCATCCTCCACCCCAACATGCATTTTCCCAACCTCGACCCCTTCCCCTCCCCACACCTATCATTTACGACATCCATCTCTCTTCTTCTACTGAGAGATATTGCGTCCCTCCAACCCCTTGGTCCCGTCTTCCACCATCTCTTTGTGTTTCTTTCATCCTATAGATTGAAACGATAATCAAAATTCTACAAATTCAAAAGATTGAGAACTATTTCACTAAAAAAATTGATCGATAACCGGTTTATTATAATTACTTCACAAATAGTTTAGAAGAGTCCTCCGTAGCTATCTTTCTTATAAATTTATTAAAGATTATCATAAGACATATGAAGATCCATGTGAATAAACATCCCCTCACGTAAAAACCAAGAAAAAATAAAAAGACTAGAAAAGTTTATTTGAGGGTACAGATGGCAAATTCATCTCCCTTTGAATTTGTACCTTTCAAACTTTTTGTCTACACGAAGATACTGTTCCTCACAACTGACAAGTGTCCTTCTAAAATCTATCTCTCTCTCTCTCCCCTCTGCTATACATACACGTATACATGCAAAAGATCTCTTATGTTTCTCTTTCTAAAACATGTGCTGGAGAGAGATTCCGTGTGTGGAATTTCAGCAGTAATAATGGAATTATTGGCCATTCTTTCGGTTCCTCTTACCCTATAAATATATTTCTTTAGCTTCATTTCATTTTATTCAAAAACACACACACCCCTCCATGCCAAAAGCTGCTCATTGTCACTAATACTTGATACAATCACATCCAAGAGTTTTCCAATAATGGAATTTGTGTCCACAATTGGCTTGTTTTTAGTCATCACTTTAATCCACTTTCTCATAGTTTTTCTTCTGAAATTCTCATATTCTGCCCAGACAAAGCTGCCACTCCCACCAGGCACTATGGGTTGGCCATATATTGGAGAAACCTTTCAACTGTATACACAGAACCCAAATGTTTTCTTTATCTCCAAAGTTAAAAAGTTAGTGCAAAAGCTTCATTTTGTGTTATTTTTCCTTCTTCATCTATTAAATTTAATTTTCAATGCACGTAGGGAGATGCAACCACTTTTTTTCAAAAAATATAGCTGATAGTAAATGCACAATGTAGTCCTAAATTTTTGATCAGAAACCAGCCATGTGCACAATTTTAATAATAAGACGATGACAAGAAGATCCCAAGACCTTCGCCATAACATGTAGAACGACGCCGTCCAGAAACTTAAGCTTTAAATATTGGGATGACGATGACAAGAGAGACACACACTCATTTATTTAAACTTAATCTTCAACACTTCCGTTGTTTCTTGTTTCAACTTTCAATAATTATTGCATATAATGGCTGCTATGTTTGATTTTGAATAGGTATGGTTCTATCTTCAAGTCACACATATTGGGGTGCCCATGTGTGATGATATCAAGCCCAGAGGCAGCAAAACTTGTGCTTGTGTCGAAAGCTCACCTCTTCAAGCCTACATTCCCAGCTAGCAAAGAGAGGATGTTGGGACGACAAGCCATTTTCTTTCAGCAAGGAGAGTATCATACCAAGTTGAGGAAGCTAGTTCTCAAAGCATTCATGCCTGAAGCAATCAAAAATAAAGTCTTGGATATCGAATCAATTGCAGTAAACTTACTACAATCACTGGAAGGCAGATTGATCAACACTTTCCAAGAAATGAAAACGGTATGTTGTGCTATTTTTCCCATAACATAGAGAAAAAGAAAAAAAAAAAAAATCTCCTTTTATTGTTTTCCTTGTTCTTTTCTTCTTTGGGACGTTTGCTTATACTTCATTATAGTTTTATAATTAGAATATCGTTTGTAATGCAATCTAGATACTAGTGAGGAGTTTGTTAAGTTATGGAGCCTAATTATTGTGGTTGTACAGAGTCTCATTTTGACTCGAACCTCTACGTATTGTGTGTGTTCTTGTATCTATTTTCTTTCTGCGATTATATTGCTTTTGATAGTAGAATTAAGGTTTGCAATTCTCAATGGGGTTGACCAAAACTAGCATGGTTTCTTATAGTAGCTAAGAATTTTGTTTCTTTAATGGAAAATGCTTCTTGCACATAACTATTTAGCCTAGTTTAATGTAAAATGCTTCTTTAATAAGGCATAGTTTGTGTTTTTGTTTTGCATTGCTGTATTGCCTATTCAATCGACTACCATATTGAATTTAGTTGATAATATAATTCTTTGATCTTGGATTCTTGCAGTACACGTTCAATGTAGCATTGCTTTTCATATTTGGAAGAGATGAAGTTCTAAACAGAGAAGATCTGAAGAGGTGCTATTACATACTTGAAAAGGGATACAATTCAATGCCGATTAACCTTCCGGGAACACTCTTCCACAAAGCCATGAAGGCTAGGAAAGAATTGGCTCAGATCTTAGCTAAAATTCTCACACTTAGGAGGCAAACGAAACATGATTACAGAGACTTATTAGGATCTTTAATGGCGGATGAAGAAGGCCTAAACAATGAACAAATTACAGATAACATTATTGGTGCTATCTTTGCTGCCCGTGACACCACTGCTAGTGTCATAACATGGATTCTCAAGTTCCTTGCTGAAAATCCAAGTGTCCTGCTTGCTGTCACTGTAAGATCTCTAAAAATCTTCAGTTTTTTAACCCGGAAACTTGTCCGGTTATAGAACTGAATAAAGCTTTCAAAATACCGGATGAAACAAAGTCAAGATTTTAATCAATATCTTTCTAGGATTTTTTGAGTTCTCTCAATATTTTCTCCTGTAGAACTGAATTTTTTCTCTTAAAAAACCTAAGCGAACTGAATCTTTTGAGCCGTGACTTTTTACCTCATTATTAATCAATATCGTACGTTGTCGGATTTAAAAGCATTGCATATCTTATTTCTGGGACTTCACAGGAAGAGCAAGAAGCCATAATGAGGAATAAAGTAGAATGTGGTGAAGACAAGATTTTGAGCTGGGCAGATACTAAGAAGATGACAATTACAACAAGGGTGATTCAAGAGACACTCAGAGTTGCCTCTATCTTATCTTTTACTTTCAGAGAAGCTGTTGAAGATGTTGAGTTCAATGGTTAGTTATTGTTTTCCGATAGAACCATCGGTAACTTGACTATTGTCGCCGATGGAATATTCCGTTAGTGATACGATGTAATGCACAAGTCACAACCATCGATTCTAGGTGATCATTCCATCGGTGAAGTTGTCGACAATTTAGCCTATGTCTGAGATCCATTTTTTTTTGTTGAAAATGAGTTTTGTTAGAAAATGTGTTTTATAGGTTATCTCATACCAAAGGGATGGAAAGTATTACCACTCTTTAGAAATATCCACCACAGTGGAGAAAATTTTCGTGACCCCGAGAACTTTGATCCTTCAAGATTCGAGGTAAATATGTGTTTTTCAATTTTGTATAGTGTTAAATGCAGAACAAGTCTATATATTTAAGGTCTTTTCGTTGGACGTGACAGGTTGCTCCGAAGGCCAATGCATTTATGCCATTTGGCAATGGAACCCACTCATGTCCAGGAAATGAGTTAGCCAAACTAGAGATCTTGGTTCTTATACATCATCTGACCACAAAGTATAGGTAAGTGAAACTTCTCAGCCAAGTACAACACAAAATCTCTAAAATTAAAGTTCTTGGAGCAAGATTCTCTAAATATAGCATGTTTTCTATTTTAGAGAGTCGATACCTTAAAAAAAGTTTCAAAAGACTCTATATTCTGATTTTATAATAATTTTATTTAATAAGTTACAAATTTCAGTACTCTAATTGAATTATTCAAATCATATTTGATTCACATAAAAAAAATTAAATAAAATATGAGAGGAAATCAATAAACTTTTCTTGACAAAAGCAAAACGAAGGGCCAAAATAGAGAATATTTTTGGAGTTTATAAAAAAATTCTTTATAAATTAAAGATACTCTTTATATACTAAGATTTTCTTGGGATGCTCTTACAGTATTTAAATTCCAGTTATGTTATTCTGACATTCGTTTTCGCAGGTGGTCTCTTGTGGGCCCACAAAATGACATTCAGTATGAACCCTTTGCTCTTCCCCAGAATGGATTGCCCATCCAGCTCTCTCTCAAGAGATAGAGATGAGATGAGATTTCTAATGTTGGAAAAGAAAATTGTCGAGTAGAGAGATAGAGAAAGTCGCATTCCCACCTCGTTTTATTGTAAAAATCGGTTATGAATAATAAGTTTTGCCAAAACAAGACTTATAACTGTAATCTTTCGTCATGAATAACAAAGAGACATTGAGTCGTTTATATAGAAAGTGCTAGCTGCTCTTTGGACAAAGATGAGAAAAGTTAAAAAGCAGTATTGCTTGTAGAGTGCTGCATAAGTTTGAATAAGTTGCCTTTTCTTACAATTGAATCATATGTACAAAAAACTGTAATATATTATCAAAATAAGCAGTTTGGGTTTACTTTTAACATGTTCTTATCTCAATGACACGTGTGGAGAGGGTTGGAGATGAAATATTCAATTAGGAAAAAAACCATAAGAAATGATAGAAAAGTAGGGCACACTTTGTGTCACATTGATTTTCAAAGGGAAAATAGACTAACTTTATCTATAATATATTAAATATCAGGCCAGGTGAGAATCATTTTTTTGACGATTTTAACCTTACTATAATTCAATTATTTCAATAATACCATACTTTTCGTTTTTTCAATATGTAATAAATAATACAAAGCCCTGTTTGAGCCAAATTATTGTAGAATGAAAAATATAGCTGTTATTGGGGTCCACATACGAGATAGAAAATTTGAATTTAAATGTTGATGTGATGGATAACGGTCATATTTTTCATTTTAATGAAATAATAATGTAGGTTAAACGGGGGCAAAATCATTATCATTTATGAATTTCGTGTTATTAATTCTCAATTAATTAACAATCACATTAATGTATACTCAATGAATCTTTATCTACACAAATATAGAGTTATTATAGATAAATTTATTTATATTCATGTAAATAGTAAGTTTAATGGGTGTTTAAATTCATGTATTGACAATCAATTCTTATGTACCAAATGTAGTGTACAAATGTTGCTCATTTGTAGTATTTCATCATCATAAAAAATTTGAACCGTAAAAGTTGAGTTTTGAGAGTACAATTTTCTTCTTTTCTAAATTTTATTTTCTTTATTTCGTTTGAGACTCATCAAATCTTCCGAACAAATTGATATCAAGTATTACTTTTACAGCATTTATAAAATATTTTAGAATAACGTACAATGCATGTTCAAATCTGACTATTATTTAGAAATGTGGTCAAAGATCGGAAAAGAACTCAATTTTTGCAGAGAAGAAGAGTCTTCACACTGGTGGGCTTGACAAAATGCCACATGCACGGTAGCAGTGTAAGCAAAAAATGTCAAGTTATTGAACTGTAAAACTATAATTTCAAATCTACAAATCTGTCATGATAAGGTTTTGAACCAAATTAAACTGCCATTGAAATTTTAATCTGTTTTGAAAACAAATCGAACCGTTAAAGAATTTCTAAATAAAAGAGATCAATAATTCATTAGTTTTAATAATTCATAAGTGCATAATGCAATTTGTCTTCAACTTGTACAATAATTGACCAGTCAAGTTTTTCATCAAAGGTTGTTCCCTCTTTCATTATAGGCGGTGGCAAATACAGGAATATTGGTGAACTAGGTTGGTCGTAGACCGTTGACGGTCAACGACCGCGACAATGAGATAGTTTATTAATAAATAATTAAATAACATGAAAATATTCTTCAATCAATAAATGCAGAACATATAAAAATATAATCTAATGCAACTCAAAATAATAAGAAAAAATACATGATAAAACCTCACTCCGTAAATATAAGTTTAGACAATTGCATTCTCTGGGGACTCAGTATCATATTTTAAAAGCGTTGCAAGATTGTCTCACTCTCAATTTTTTCAAAAATCTCTCGCTTTATATACACCACCAGATTGTTATCCAACCAGTCATCTCCTATTTTATTGCGCAAGTCACTCTTGATTAATAGTAAAAATGTTGCGCAAATCACTCTTGAATTGAGCTTGAGACTTTTTTGTGTTATCAGTGGATTCATGTACTCGACTAGAAGTAGTGACGGGATTAGATGTACTACTAAAAGAACAAGGTTGAGACTTTCATTTCGTTTGAAAAAATGTTCCATAGTCTATATGAAAATTAAACCTAAATTTTAGAAACTTTAATTTTAAACTATCACCAATTTTCAAGTTACCAAATATTATTACAATTTGAATAAATCACAAAGTAGCATTGAAAATGTTTCGAACTATGGATGAGACAAAGTAAATGTTGAGGTAAAGCCTGTAAAAAAGATGAGGTCTGGGATGTTGCTGCAATTATCCCTATAATATTCAATCGAGTAGTATAAATGATCATTCTCACAAATTTATAGAAATATTTATATATCTTAAGAATATATCGTGAAAATGTTTATTAATTATAGCATGAAAATCTTTATTAATTATAGAAATATTTATATATATTAGGAATATATCTTGTACTAAAATTGTTAAACGTGGGAGCTACCAAGGTAAAATGCTAAAATAGATTCTAGGGACATAACCTTATTATACATAAAAGACAAGGGTAGCATTGCCTTAAATTTTTTTTTATCATTTGTTGAACTTTCTTATAATTTCCATGGTGGCGGCGTTGGTGTTCTTGCCATTCTCTCTCTCACTCGGAATTTGTTACTGGCGTTAAAAAGGAGAAGATACATATATTTACATAATAGAAAGAAGATAAGTAAAACGGCAGAAGAAAAAAAGCAGCCATGGAACAAGAGCTTTGTTTACTGGCAAACCGCTCACTGGCTCCAAACAGTAAATTCTGGTGGCACTAGCTCGCTGGGTGCTGACTCCGCCACTGACTATATGAAACATGATTTTTTTTCTTCAAATACTTGTCCGAGTCCTAAATAACGGTCTAACAAGCTAGTTTAGTAAACCGAACAAGTGAGACTCCATTTTATCTTGAAAGATAATTATTCGTTACGTTAAATTTCAAATATCTTTGATGAGTATTGGAGACTATTGCTAGCCATAGTTTCTTCTAAGTGTAAAATGTATACTTATCCCAACTATTGTTTAATGAGACTTTCGTTATTTTATAGTTCGATATTTACATTTATATTTTTTTCAAATTTCGCCGTTTTATGACGAAACTGAAACTTGAATAACATTGATAAAAATGAGAGAATTCGACCTCTGAAGGCCAAGATTAAAGAGACTATGAAAAGATTGAAATCCTGGAATTGTTCTTGCTCGAGCAAGGCCAAAACCATTGGCTGCAGTACTATTTTATTTGCGAGAGGTATTTTTGTCAAGGGGTGCATGGAATTTTATGTCAAACGTTACCTCTCTATAGCCAAACTCTTAGACTTGGTTTGGTTGATTGGACATTCTTTGGACACTATTCAAAGAAAACCTAGGTTTTGAAGACGAAGAAGGCAATTCAAGGTTTTTTAAGTGACGTCGATGATTAAAACTAGTCATCATTTTTCTCATCTTTTCTTCATTTTGGGTGATGATTTACTTCTTGACCATGCATTTTTATAATATGAAGATTTTAGATTAATTTTTAAATAGTTAGGACGACGATGCAAACCTTATTTTATGTTTTAGTTCAACTTTATTCGTTTGATTAAATGTTTGTTATTTTATTAACTCTTTCAAATACTTGATCAGTGTTTGAATAAATTGTGACCTATATTATTTTCAAGAAATCAAATATAACTTTTAATTGAATATATAGCTTTACGTACATTTTATTATGACATGCAATTGCAAACTTTCAAATGAACAGTTCGTTTGAAAGGTAAGAAGGTGAGTTTGTGTCAAATATGCATGAATCGACCAAGTTTTGAAATATAGCAATTTGTCTATTTTATGTTGCATCACTTCAAGACAAATATAAATCCTTACGTGCACAACGTTATTACTTCTTGCTAATGACTTTTGCCCATAAATGCAAAAATAATCTACTATTCAATATGTATTCTTGCTAGATTTTTGGGAGAGAAGAACCACCACTGAATATTTGAAAATTGAAATAATAAGTTAGAGATAGACGAACTTCTTCCGTCACCAATTCTATCACTAGTTTTTGGAAACCGTCGAAGATTTGTTGCCATGTTCGTAAAAAAAATAGTGACCGTGTCTTCATGTATTGCAATAACAATATAAATCTAGTATCTGAATAAATTATTATCGTCCTAGTAGTTTAAACGATTAATGTAATGAGGTCAAGTACGAGGACTGATTCTCTATTTGAGAAAATTATGCACACGTCTGATGTGCAGGTAAAGAAACGAGTTGAAAATAACATTTAAACTAATCTCTCTCATATCATAATTACTTTGAACATAACATACTTTTATTCAGCAAACACATCTCTCATTCAAGCTATGATGCCATCATTTGGACTTCTATCTGCCCTTCTTAAGGGTCCGTTTGTGATAATTTTTGTTTTTGCTTTTGTCGTAGATTGCAATTTTATTCATAATGAGTTATAAGCAAGTGTCTTAACAATGACAAACATATTTTTCAGACGTTTAGATGCTATTATTCAGACATATTTGATGCATACTGCTTGTAAATCTTTTTTTCCCTTTATTTCTATCCAATACTGTTGACTCCAACCAACGTGCTTTCATCATAGTACGTGTTTTACCCACAAATGAATTATGATAACTCGAAATATATAAATAAAGTTATTTATCTAAAATGGTGATAATATCATTGATGAAGCTTTTGATCAAAATTTTAACAAAATTTGATAGAACTGATGAAATGTATAATTGAAAAGTTGATAAAAATTGTATGACCTATAAAATATGCAGTTAAAATTTAAGTTTGACTAGTTAAAATGTTAAATAAAATTTTAGCAAAGTTTTATCAAACTAGCACTAAAATAATCGTCCAATACAATAAAGAAATTTATCATTTCAGGAAAAAAAAAAAAAACGGCTAGAACGATTCAAACTAAATATTCAATTAATCCCCATCTTCTTCAATTTCTTTTTATACTTTACGTTTTAATTTAAATCATTTTATTTTTGC